CTAAGAAGAAAGTTTTTAAAAAAATCAATGCACAAAATTTTAAAAGTTTAATTGAAATGTAGGTATTTATAAGACTATATGAAACATGATAATATCATTAGAGGGCCACATGATTTTATAAGTACTTCTTAAGCAATTTTAAATGATAAATTTTTCACCAGTAAAATAAGAGTGTTCAGGTCTTTCGTTCATAGGGTCACTATGAGTCATCTATGACTCAACGGCACTTAACAGCAACAGTAAAATGTGAGGAAAAATAGATAAACAAAATAGCAATGTAAACAACCTTAGTTTTTTGCTGTTAAGAATAAAAAAATTTTCTAGATAACTATAATAATGCAAAATTACCTTAAAGAATTATTCCCAGTAAATCCAGGTCCAATATTATAATTCACATTAAGACTTCCCTTCCAGCTGTCATCTGGAGGAGCAGGACCTCCCATATGACTGTTGAGAGAAATGACAATGACAGCATAAGGCTGAATATGTTCAGTTTTTGAGAAGACACCATGAAGTCTGATGATGAAATTTTTCATTCACACATTGAAGAAATACTCTTCTTTCATTTTTCAGGATTTTTTAAATGATAAATGATAAATTTAAGCTTACAAATCATATTAGTTTCCATTCAACCATTTAGAGACATTTTGTTTTATAACATTGTTGTTGTGTACTGTGGGGTTGAAATCAACCCATACCTGACCCTCCAGAGAGAGTTTTCAGAGGCAGTTAATCGCATGGAAGAAGACTGCCCATCTCTTGCCCATGAGCAGCTGGTGGATTTGAGATATTTACCTTTGGGTTGCCAGCACAACTCCTTACCTCTAGGCCACCAGAGCTTACAAAACATGCTATTTTTCAGATGGTTAAGTGGAACAAGGCAGCCTGGTTTGAAAATCAGTGGTTCAAATGCATCAGCCACTCTAGGGGAGAAGGATGTGGCAGTTTGCTTCCAATAAGTTTAAGTAGTTGTTATGTGCTATCAAGTTGGAATCAACTCATAGCTGATACTTCAGCAGGTTTTCAGAGGCAGTAAATACCAAGGTAGTTGATTTCCCCTTTCTTTTTCAAAGCAGCAGGTGGATTCAAACCATGTGCCTTTGGCTTGGCAGCACAGATCCTTGTGACTAAGCTAACAGAAAATCCAATGGTTTATAACATTAGTCATCATTGATTAATGTAATTCACTAATTACAATGTCTAATCAACCCCTGAGATCTGGTGGCCTAGTGGTAAGAAATTGTGCTGCAATCCGAAGTCATGGAGTTCAAATCCAACAGCTGCTGCAGAAGAAAAATGGGCAATCTCCTCCTGTGTGATTAAACTGCCTCTGAAAACTCACAGAGGGTCAGCTATGGGTTGGTTTAGACTCAGTGGTTGTTGTTACGTGCCATTGAGTCACTTGTGACTCATAGCGACCCCATGTGCAATAGCCCTGAACCCTGCTCTATTCTGTGCCAACTTTGCTGTCTCTGACATGCCTACCCTCATTATCCCAGTCACTGAATCAATCCATCTCATCGAGGGTCTTCTTTCCTTGCACTGCTCCTCCACCCTTCCAAGCATGATTTCCCTTTTGCAACACAGAGTTGATGGCAACTAATAGCAATCTTACGAAAAATAACTCTGAACCCTGCTTTATACTGAGCCAATCTCACTATCTCTGACACACTTGCCCTCGTTGCCATAGTAACGTCAAACCATGTCATGCAGGGTTTTCCTTTCCAGTGTTGACTCTCCAAACCTCCAAACACAGAATCCTTCACCAAAAAATGGTCCCTCCTGGAAAAATGCCCAACCAAGTATGTGAGATGGAGCTTCAGAATCTTTGCTTCCAAGGAGAAACTCAATTTCACTTACTCCAGGAGAGATCTGTTTGTTCTCTTGACGGTTCATGATATGTTCAATACCCTTCTCCAGCACCACAACTCAAAGGCATCAATTTCTCTTTTGTCATCTTAGTTACTGTCAACCTCTTGGATGCCTAATAAGCAATTGAGAAGACCACATTTTGTTGTCTGTATCAGAAACACCTTTGTATCTAAACTGACATCATTGCTCTTTAGCATTCTGAAGAGGTCCCTTACAGCTGATTTTCTTAAAAAAACTCATCTGATTTCCTGACTGTTGATGCCAAGAGTGTTGATTATGGATCCCAGCAAGATGGAATTGTTAACAGCCTCAATGTTTTCTCCATCTATCATGATGCTGCAATTAGCCTGGTGGTAAGAATATTTGTTTTCTTGATACTGAGATGCAATCCATATTGAAGACCACAGTATTTGACTTTCTGCAGCAAATGCTTCAAGTCCTCCTGTTTCCGTAAGCAAGGGTGTGCCAACTGCATAATGCAATTGTTGATGAGTCTTCCTCCAGTCGTGATGTCACATTTGTTTCCAACTCTTTATTAGTGTAAATAATGCCATAAGTTAGGTGAGTATGTGTGTATATCAGTTTGCATTTTAGCTAAAGAAAAGAGGCTGGTTATGCACATTCCCTCTCACTTTTTATTCTTTACCTCTCATCTTTCACATAATAAAGATGTTACTTATCACAATTTTAGCTCTTTCACTAGAATGCAATCTCCACAATGAATGTTTATGGTATCCAGAACTTAGTAAATATTTAATAAATATTTGTTAAATGCTTTGGTAGGCATTTATTATCAGTGATTTAGTATTGTTAAACAACTTTATATCAATGATATAAATTCAACAGGAAGCCAGTTTACATTAAGATTAAAAAAGAAACTCAACCAAACTAATTTCCAGCAAGTCAGAACCTACTCATAGCTTAGCCTCCAACAGGTTTCTAAGATTCTAAATAACATGGGTGATGGATAGCTCATCTTTCTTCTGAGGAACAGTTAGTAGATTTGAACATCCAGAAAGGCATCACTTTTGGACAGCAGTGCAACTCTTTACTGTACCTGCCATAAAGATTACAGTGTTGGAAACCCTCTGGGCAGTTCTATTCTACTCTACTGAGTCAGAACTGACTCAACAGCAGTGACGTTTTGGGGGGTTGTTGTTGTTAAGTGCCGTTAAATTGAATACAACTCATAGTGACGATGTGAAAAACAGATCTGATGATGGGTGTCATCTTCATCATCTCGGACACACTTGAGACCATTGCTACAGTCACTTCGTTAATCCATCTCACCAGGATCATCCTCTCTTTTGCTGATCCTCCAGCTTTGTAATTCAATGTACCTTTCCAAGAAATAGTCTCTCCTAAAAACATGCTCAAAGTGTGAGAGATGAAGCTTCACTTTCATTGCTTCCAAGGAGTGCTCTGACCACCCTTTTCAAAAGGCATATCTGTTTGTTCTTTAGGCAGTCCAGGAGATATTAAGTACTCTTAACCAACACCACAACTCAAACGCATAAAGTCTTCTACTGTCCTTTTTCGCTGACCAGTTCTCAAATGGGTAGCAAGTGATTGAAAAGATGATGGCCTGAATCAGGCACACCTTAGTCTTCAAACTGACATCATTGCCTTTCAGTATTTTAGAGAAGTTCCTGACAGTGGGTTTGTCCAATGTAAAACAGCCATGGACTGTGGTACCCACTGACTGTCAATTCAAGCAAAATGAAGTCATTGATAACATCAATCCTTTCTTCATCTATCATGATATAACCTATTGGTTCAGAGCTAAGGACCTTTGTTTTCCTGATGCTTAGATGTAATTCATACTGAAGACTGTAGTCCTTGATCTTCTGCAGCAAGTGTTTCAAGTTCTCACTTTCAGCAAGCAAGGTTGTGTCATCTGTATGACAGAGGTTGATGATGAGTCTTCCTTTGTTCCTGATGCCACATTCTTCTTCACAAAGTTCAGTTTCTGGAATGATTTCTTGAATGACTGTAAGCTCAGCATACAGACTGAAGAGATAAGAAGCAAGGATACATTCCTGAAGTACTCACTTCCTGATTTTAAATTATGAAGTGTTCTCTTGCTTCACTTGATTTAGATCTAGACTTCACCTGATGGCGGTTAACTGTTTTGGGATTCGCATTCTTCTCAATATTAGCCATAGTTAGTTACAATCCGTATTGTCAAATGTCTTTGTATAGTCAATAAAACAAATAGATCTTCTGCTGGTATTCTTTGCTTTCAGCCATGATCCATCTTAGATCAACAGTGATATCCCTGGTGCCACATCCTCTTCTAAACCCAGTTCCCTATCGATGTACTGTATTAGTCATTTGGGGATGATTTTCAGCAATATTTTGCTTGTATGTGCTATTAATTATATTGTTTGATAATTCCACATTCTGTTGATTCACTTTTCTTGGGAATGGGAACAAATTATGGATCTGTTCCAGTCAATTGGCCAGACAGCTGTCCTCAAAATTTCCTGGCATACACTGGTGAGCACATTCAGAGCTGCATCTGTTAGTTGAAACACGTCAATTGGAATTCTATGGACTCCTGGCATCTTATTTTGTGCTAATGCCTTCAGTGTACCTTGAACTTCTTCCCTCATTACCATTGGCTCTTGTTTGTATGGTACTTCCTGAAATTTCTCAGTTTCAACCAATTATTTTAGTACAGTGACTCTATGTATTCCCTCCACCTTATTTTGATGGTTCTTGGGTTGTTCAAAATTTAGCCATAGCACCTCTCTACTTTGCAACTTGAGGGTTGAATATGGTTTTCAGTTCTTTCAACTTGAGAAATACTAAATGAGTTCTTTTTTTATTCTCTGATTCCTGCTCTTTGCATATTTTGTTATAAAATTTTGCTTTGTCTTCTAGAGCTAATCTTTGAAATTGCCTGTTAAGCTTGGTGGCATAGCATCAATTTGCTAACTGTAAAGTTGGTGGTTCAAATCTACAAGTCATTTCATAGGAAAAAGATAAGACAGTATTCTCACACTAAGATTTATAACCTTGTCAACCTGATAGAGAGGCACTATAAGTTGAAATAGATTTTAAAAAAAGTGGGCTTGTTTTTTTGCTAAAAACTACCAAACACATTTTCAAAGCTTCAATAAATTATATCCTTTTATTCCAATCTGTTGTTGTTATGTGTTAGTGAGTTAACTAAGACTCATAGCAAACCTGTAACTCTGAACCCTGCCCTTTCCCAAACCAAACTCACTGTCTCTGACACAGCTGCTCTCATTGACAAATTCACTGTGTCAATTCACCTCAGTCAGAATCTTTCTCCCCTGTTCTGACCCTTCACTCTTCTAAGCATGATATCCTTCTCCAGGGACCGGTCCCTTATGGCAACATACTCAAAAGTATGTTAGGCAGAGTTTCAAAGTCTTTGCCTCCAAAAACCAACCTGTTTTCACCCTCTCCATGATGGACCTATTTGTTCTCTCAGCAGTCCATCATGTGTTCAATACTCTTCTTCAGTGCCACAATTCAAAGGTATTGTGTCTTCTATCATCCTCAGTCATTGTCCAACTCTCTGATGCATAACAAGCAGTTGAGAA